CCTTTATGGTCAGACCCACTAATATAACTTCTTTTTGTTTCTGTTGGGTTTTATTGGGAGTCTCAGCCGCTCATATCTAGTTGAACATTCTTTATTAACATATTTCTACATCTATTTACCTTTGTATATGCTGCCATTTTTATCTAGAATGTCTTTATCCCCTTCTTAAATCAAAGCCCTGTTCAAGCCTTGGTGCACAATTCTACTACTATAAGCTTTTCTCTTTTTTAACTTTTTAGTTATTCTCTGTCACTTTCACATCGTGCATCTTGATCACATTCATCTCCCTTCATATCTGCCCTCTGTCCTTGCAAGCTCCACCCCAAAAATAAAACAAAATTTAAGAGAGAAAAAAAAGAAAACTCTCATTGTGGAAGCTGCAGTGTGACCCAGTGAGTCACTCAGTAAACCCTTTAGTCCATCTATCTTTACTTGCAAGTGTTCATTGCAATGAGTCACTGGTCTGGTTCCAGGCCTCTGGCTTCTGCTGCACTCTTTATACTGGGCCCTGACTGAGACTCCTCTTGGATAGTTGTCCTGTGTCATGGACATCTTAGATCCTGATGGTTTGGATCTGTCGGTCCATCCCCGTCACATCCTCCAGCAGATCATAGATGGGATAGATGTTGGGGTATGCCAACTAATAGCCCTGGTTCTGGGCCTGGGTAGTTGCAGGGTTGGTCAGTCTGACACCTCCTCCCTATCCTCACCATAAGGTGATCTCTGCAGCAATGGCCCAGATGCAGCACTCAGGAAAGCAGGTCCTCCAAATAAATACATAACCACATAAAGAGACAGTTGTAAAAATCCAATTTGATTGGGCAATTGTGCCACACCCCTTTAATTCTAGTAGTTGGGAGACAGAGACAGGCAAATCTCTGAGTTATAGACCAACCTGGTCTACATGGCAAATTCCAGGACAGGCAGGAATACACACAGAGAAACCCTGTCTAGAAAAACCTTAAAAAAAAAACAAAATCCAATTTGACTGAAATGCCCCTCTGTGACACTTTTATAGCACTCCCATACAATTAACTCGCTTCTCTGCTTCACTGGACTAGGAGTATTATTTTAAGACAAGGTCTAGCTCTGTAGCACAGGCTGGCCTCAAGTGTAAGATGTTCCTACTTCAAGAATGCTGGAAATACATGTATACACCATTATCCTTGGCCTAACTGTGAGCACTTCTTTTCACCAAATGTGGAGGTTATGGTGAGTACTTGGTAATCAAATTCTATAATGAACTTTTAGTTAACAGTTAAACACTCTACTTCTGGCTTCATTCTACCTCTCACATCTATCAGCAAAAATTATTAACTTAATTTCACTGTCCAAAAACAGCCACAACTTCAGAAATTATACAAGCAGAAAATCAAAATATAAAAGTTTCAACTAGTGTCAGTCAGGCTACTCTATATCCACCATCTTGTGATGGAAGATGGAGGTATTAGATACACTTTAAAATGTCCTCCTCATTCTTGCTCCCTTGTCCTGTGAGTATGTGTTTACCTGTGTTTGCTTGTGTTTGCCAGTACAGGAATATATTTGTAGAATCGTGGGACCATTCATCAGAAGGTACTTCCTTTTTTTGAGAGTCTCTTTTAAAGGAATATGGGACCCCTTTGGTTAGGGTAAGCTGGCTGGCCTGGGAGCCCCGAGCATCAGCCTATCATCTCCTAACCCCCAGCACTGGGATAACTAATCCGTGCCACCAGACAAGAGGCTTTATACTATATTACTGGGGCATCAAACTCAGCTCCTCATGTTTGCATGCAAGTACTTTACCGACTGAACTGTCTAAACCCAACATTGCATTCTTTGAATGGTTAAATCATTCTTTTAAATATGAGATACAAGATAGAGCTTCTCCCTTACACTTCTCTAGGACACTTTCTCTCCTATTCAGTTTTACAAAGTACAAGCCACAGCTGACATCAAATTACTAACCAAACTATCATGCTGGTTAATAGTATGTTACAATCTGGGCCTAACCAGAAAGTTTATATAAAATCCAAAACTCCAATACCAATATATTATTTTAAATGTCTTGTGTTACTGAAAGAATTAACTTTCCTAATAAATAGATGTCTGTATGGATGTATGGATAGAGAGGGGGACTCATTATGAAGATACATATCTGAAAAAAACTGAAGTGAATTCTGTTAAAATTTGACTCACACAACCTTAAACAGAAGTCATTACAGTTCTGAATGGCCAATGTGAAAAAGTTCTCACTGACAGACATCAATAAGCTGAGGATATAAATGTCACTTTGCCTGAAAAAAATACACCCTATATTCTCATTTTTCCAAATCCATGAACAACTAAATGAGATACAATCGTATCACAAGGCATATAGTTTGAAAAAACATTAGACTACAGTGATCCAGTAAATTTTGTAATGTGGCAGAAACTTCTACCATGGCTGAACAATATATAGATATTGTGATCTAAACTTTTTATTGCATCATGGTTTTCTTGTATGGCTCTTCCTTGTCCCCAGTGCTTTCAAAATCTTCTCTCTTCATCAGAGTCCTCCATTCCCCCCCACACACACACACTGTTACCTGTTTTGCTGCCTTTTGAACTGAAACAGTTATTTTTGTTCTACAAGTAATGAATGCCTGAAAAAAAACTTAACAAAAGCATGAAACCAAAAAAAAATGAACACTCAAATTTTTCATATACTTTGAAGAGTATTGAACCCTTAACAACACAATAACCCAGACAAATAATTTCTATTGCCATACAGCGGTTTTGTTATCATACAGGACTCCTTTACACAGATTCATAATTGGGAATTATTATAGCAATACATAATATATAGCATTGATGCTTTAAAATCTAAAGTCTTATTCTTGTAAAACTTTAAATTAAAAATCTCAGGTGAACTCATTTGTAAAAGTCTACCAAATCATTTTGGTTGGTCAAACTGTTTGTCTTAAAATGTGCCATATTGCATTCCTGCTTTATTCGTGTGACATGTTGGCTTGTAGAAATCATGCAAAGCTCAAAAATATACTTGAGGGGAAAAAAAGAAAATTCATGCCAGTATGTGCTCAGGATTCCAATACTTGATCTACTGCATCAAGCTATGTTTACTATGGAACAGTGAAGCTAGTTAGGAACTGAAAGTGATGCTATCTCATAGCCATCTAGTTACCTTGTCAAATCAAGTAAAACATAAAAGATGAAATAGGACAAACAGCCAACGAGTAGGAAGAATATATTACCACGGTGTTCTTATTAATAGAGATAAATGTTTTTCCTTTAGTATCCTCAAGAATGGAATATTCTTACTAGATATATAAAACTACTATGGAAACTATTCCTTAACTTTTGTTTTCAATTAAACTTTTTACTACTGATCAGAGCAGTCTAGGCCGGGGCAGGTGGAGGGGGAGAGAAGTAAGATCACTATTTTACCCTAAACTGGATAATTTCAAAGTCAGTTCATTAAAATTCCTACTACTTGGTTGGGCATGGTGGCTCACATACTCAGGAGGCCTAAGTAGGATGATTTCTGTGAGTTCAAGGTCAGCCTAGTCTACATAGCAAGTTCCACAACAGCCAAGACTATATAGAAAGAACCTAAAAAAAAAGAAAAGAAATACATTCAACTCTAGCAACACACTCAGAACTGTTTTCTCAAATTCATTATGGTGCAGGCACTCATTAAAACCATAATAGATAGTACAGACAAGTCAAAAATAAGCTGTGACTCAGTTTCTTTATTTGTAAAGAAAATGGGGTAACAAGACACATTAAGCAAGTAATTTCTAGGACTTCTTCGGGTTTGTATGGAATTGATGAGATTTTAAATTTGTCATATTAACCTAGCCCAAGCCCTTTCCCACATAATGGAAGCCTTCGTACGTCCTGATGTTTGACCCGTTTCCCGTATGGACAGTCTGTAATAGGAAAGCAAATAGAAGCCAAAAGAGAAGTGCAAGTCCAGACCAAATGGCCAGATGCCACAGGAAATGGTTTGAGTTGCATGTCACAGTCTCACCCTCTCTTCTATTATAATCAAATGTTGCTTACAGCTGAAATATAGACAGACATGCAACATGTTGATTGTGCTTGGGAGGTGAACTAGGAATCTTCTGCTCAAAGGGCTCATGGGAGGCTGCAAAGTTTATTTGCTGAATCTGTGCTGGTAACCCCTTTCTCCACATTCCACTGAAATTAGAAAGTTTACAAAAAGAGGAACCCTTTTAACTGATGAGCTGAAGAAACCCCAGAATTTCCCAACCTAACACCAGGCCCCATAAATGTCTTGCCTTTCAGCAGGAAATGAATTACTACTACTGGTCCACACTGTCAGGGCTGTCAGACACATAAAGGGTACATGGCTGCTTTTGAGCATTTCTCAAACAAGTGGAAACACTGTAGCGGGATATCGGGGGTGGAGGGCCTCCCCTAGCCTCCAACTCCCACGCTCTCCTCGAGCCACATGCTTCCAAAGAAATGTTTGTTGAGCGAGCACATGGTGGGGGGAACGCACGCAGGCTCCTCTTCCTTGGATTTCTGACAAAGTAGAAAGACAGGGAACCTATGTTGTGCTTGTCTTGATTTACGTAGCTGCAAGTGGGCTCCAATGTGTTTGAAACGGAGCGGAGGGAGGTTCCCCTGCCCCGGACCCCAAGCGTTAAGAGGCCAAACAGTAACTGACAAGAGGTGGGAGGGAAATGGAATCCCGAAAAGAAGGTTCGCGCCCACAAGTTAGGCAAACAGCCCTACCCAGTACTCTAGGACACTACGCGGGGTGTCCCCAAGTCGGGGTGGGGCCTTTCTCCTCCGCCAGATGACACGAGACAGGGCCGGGTTAAGTGGAGAAGGGGTGCTCTTCCGCCCCCACGCAGTCCGGGTTCCCCGAGTTGCGCGGCTAGAGCGCGGTTGCAGCTGGGAGGGGGGCCCGGGTCCCCTGCCTGTTCCACGGTAGGACGATCCGGGGCTCTCGGGTCCCCGAGGCTGGCTGGGTTTGCGGCAGCACTTACCAATTTGGGTTTGTTTTTCGTTTCCTCTTCGTTGGCTGCCCGGTTCCCCGAGCTCCGCTTGTTGCTCCGGCCCACGCCGGGTTCCTCGCCGCCTCCTCCAGCTCCCGACGCTGCCGCCGCCGCCCCGAGCTGCTCCATCTTTCTCTGGCCCTGTCACCTGCTGCCCTGGAACCCCACGTCTCCTCAAGGGCAAAAGCCCCTCGGAGCGCTCCGGATGTCCCGCGTCCACGGACAGAGAGGGTTACCCGCCAAGCGCTGCTCCCAGGCCCCTGGGGCTCCCCAATCCCAGGCAACCCCGACGCAACCACGCCGGTGCCACCACTCAGCGCTGGGGCAAGCCCTGCCCCTAAGCAGCTGCAATCACCACGGCCGCCTCCGCCCTCAGGGCGGTGTTTAGGGTGGAGGAAAAGTAGGTGCCTATCTCTTTAAGACAGCCTCAACACACGTGATTCATCAAAGAGCCCGCTGTCGCTCGCCCGGGCGGGCAAAAGCCTCTTCCTACTCGTGGTGCTGAGCCGGCCGGGCTACTGAGCATGCCCTGAGCGGCGACTGGAGCCTCACAGAGGACATTCTGCTGTGGTTAAGCGCTGATTTCACTTCCTGATAGCCTAGCACCCAAAGGAAGGGAACTAGTCTAGACGGATAAAGGAGAGCCCATTTTAGAGACAGGGAAACTGAGTGAGGACAATTCTCGTGTGCATTTTCCTGATGAGGCCAACTGACTCTCAGCTCTCTCTGGTGTTGGTCAATATGCCTTCCTTAGTCAGAGGGCCCTCAGGGGGTGTGCTCTTGCTACACTCCGTGGGAAGGTTTAATTAGCAAGGCAACTGGCAATGTGTAGGAAAACCACTGGGAGTTCTGATTAATTGCCTTAGACAGATTGTATGGGTCAAAGTGGAAAGAGTGGGTGCTTCTGTTGCCACGATTGCATTGTGGCCAAAGAAATACAGTCATTGCTTTCTTCCCAGGCTGTTAGTGGTTAAAGCCACTAGTGCCTCACCAAGTAATCCTTAGGGTGATATTGGGCTCTTTAACCAAAGCACCTCTTTATAGTTTACTATTGAGCTGAGTCCTATCTTTGATTTCCCAAGCTAGTTTAGGTTTAGGGTTATTGTGAAGAGTAAATAAGATCGTGTATGTCAAAGCTTTGTTTAAAAGATAAGTCCCTAGACAACTTCTAGTGTTTTTCTGTAGCACCAGCAAGCAGCATACATAGTCCTCAGCCCATGCACTGTCCCTGCTGTTTGATCCTCAGGAACTAGATTTCCCCATTCTTTTCCAAAGGAGCCTCTCCAAAAGCGACATTTGAAGGAACCACCAATCCATCACAGAAGTAGGGCCAAGTACTAGGGAAGCCACTTGTAGTAAAGCTTTAATACCAAGTCCATAAATATGTTCATAACCCTGTTAATGACCAAGATAACTTTGGGTTGTGGGGTGGTTTTGTCTTCTACAATTCAATTTGAAGTTAGTTATGCTGAAATGAATTTGTAGCAGAATGAATATAGTGAGCATTCATTAGGATGAATTTGACCCTCATAAGGGTGTGCTGACGCAAGTAACTTGAACAGTAGAGCAAAAAGATTTTAGATATCACAAAAGAGCTCAAATCCCAGCTCCGTCTTTATCATTGTTTCTTTTTAATCGAGTGAACAGAATGTCTATGTTCCTGAAGTAGCCAGCTCCCCATGGACAGCAACAAGGGAGTGTATGCTCTCAGATACAATAGACAGAAGCTCCAATATATGTTTGCTTTCTTGAAGCTCATGCACAACTTTGATGCATATTTTGAATTTGAATTGAATTTGATGTATATTTTGAATTTGACTTGTTACACACATACACAATTGAATTTATCTAAATGTCACCCCACCTGAAATACTGAGTAAAAAAATAATAGGTGCTACAGAAACACAATGAGTGATATGACATCTTCACATACTTCCTGTAGAAGAAATGTAGGTATGGGTCAAAGCAAGACGCCACTGAGTTTAAGCATTGCTCAATAATCTGTTCAGCAAACATTTTTAAGCCAGATGGCATAAAAAGTGATTTGTGTTGGAAGGCTAAAGCTGACCTTATTTCTGCCCTTTAGGCTACTGGAAGAAACAGGCTAAATGAATTGTATCATGGGACAAAAATAGGTGACAGGGAACCTATATAGTATATATGTCAGAGACTCAAGAGCACCTTCCCAAAGAAGATAAGGTTTGCGCTAACTGTTAAAAGTCTATTTAAAGGCATTAAGTACCAGCAACCCAGTACTACAAATGTGGTTTATTTTCATGGAGCTCTCAGCCTACTGGGAAAAGTATTTAACAAGAATGTATTGACCGATTGCTGTACAAACAAGCTCAGAAAGCACTCCACAAAGGCAAAGGAACCGATGATAGCATTGTAAAGACCCAAATAAACAAAAAAAAAAAACCTAAGGTGGAGGATTGTTGCAAGAGGAGACACAGCAGGGCATAATGGCACATTGAGCAAGCAGAGGCGGGCAGATCTCTATGAGTGTGATGTCAGCTTGTCCTAATAGCAAGTTCCAGGACAGCCAAAATTATCTAGTAAGACTTTGTCTCGGAAAACCAAATAAATAAATAAAATAAGAAACAGGGTCAACAACAGTTGAACATTATTATCTGAATGATTATGAAGGCTCCTACTTGTACACATCGCTGTTGTTTTAAAAAGTGGAGGGAGGGAAAGGTATTGTAATATAAATTATTTCTCTATGACATGTATATGTGGACTTGAAGCTGAATTGTTATGTTTTGAATGCAATGTTGGCTTTCACTGTCCTCAGGCAGGACTAAGCTCCATTTGCTAACCAATTGGATACCTATAAAAGATCTGTAATCTCTACAAAAAGTGGAAAAGTATGTTCTTAATGTGACTTACATTTGACTTTCTCATGGTTATCTCAGACCCTGTTTTTCAGCATTTTGCCCTAGTTAATGTGAAAAGTAAATTATAAAGCAAATACACAAATAGCAACCATTTTTTTCTTTTTGCAGGAATCAGGGTCATTAGTCTCTCTTGGAAACTAACACACAAAAAAGAAAACAGTAGCCTCAGGCAAGGATACTTTGTCCCTTAACTGTGAACCTAGCGCTTCAGCAAACTGCTGTCATAGGGCTGATCTCATTTCACCTACATTCCTTTAATTTTTTTCCTTCTTGTGACGCACGAACAGACTTGTGGGGGAAAAGATGTTGTCTTTTCTCTGGTGACAAAGAAAGAAGGAGGCTTTACCAATCAGCTAGAGTATCAAAAGTATACTTTAGACCTATTGGTTCCCCAGTCTCTCCCTCTAGTACGGCATCAAGTCCCACGTCAGATATTAGAAGAAAGAAAAGTATCTTTCTTCAGATTGACCCTAAAGTCATCCATTTTCCTCATCTAAACAGTCTGCCATTCATAGAAAAATGAAAGGAAACACAAATTAGAAAAAAGAATGAGAAATTAACTCCAAGGTAACAGCAAAATATTTATGAGTCAACAGATGACCAAAAGTAAACAAGTGTTTGCTAAGCATACATTATGTGTCTAACATCAAACTAGATGCAATGCAGATTTAAACAAGGGAGAGAAGAGGTGTCATACCTCCTGCTATAATGTCATATATATCTTCCTAGAGAAGCTCTAGATATCCTTTGTTGTTGTTTTGTCTTGTTTTCTTTAAAAAACTATATACTATAGATAGCAGGGCTTCCAGAAAATGGTTAAACAAGATCACTTAAATCTGAAACAGCTTTGAAGTTAGAGCATTAACCAAAATGACAACTATCATAATAAAAATACTCTGGTGATTAAATCGTCACTGGCATTTGAATGCTGCAAAAGTCATCTCTGTAATGTCTCCTCACTGTTGTTTGTCCCCAGTGGCATTGAATTTTAGTAGATTCCATTATGAGAATTTCAAATTGAATTGAATAGTAGTCAACTTTTTTAAAACACATAGTGAAAGGTCTTCCCAGCTTCACTGAGTGTTCATAGCTTTGTCACACCATTTCATATGGTTGAAAACTTAAAGGTTGAAGCCATTAAACCAGTGGATAGTCATACTTAAGACAGCATTTTATACTGAATTCTTCACTTTAAAGTTTTTGTATTACTAAGTCTGCTTGAATATGTGGAAGTTGGCTTCTGCTTACTTGGAATATTAAAGTAGTGCTAAGAAAATTCAGAGTATTTTGAGATATTCTCCAGTTAAATAAATTGCTAGAGTTCTGTTTGTGGTACACAGATATTTGTAATGGAGTGTCCTTCACCACTCAATCTAAAATTAACTTGAGAAAAGAAGAGAACAAAGGATTAAATACAATGTGGTAGCCCCTGTTTGCAATCAAAGCACTTCAGAGGTAAAGGCAAAAGATTAAGAGTGCAAGGTCACATCACTCAGTGTGGTCTTTCTAGTTCCATCCATTTGCCTGAAAATTCCATGAAGTCATCATTTGTTACCTCTGAGTAGTGCTCCATTGTGTAAATGTACCACATTTTCTTTATTAATTCTTCAGTTGAGGGGCATCTAGGTTGTTTCCAGGTTCTGGCTATTAGGAATAATACTGTTATAAACTTTTTTGAGCAAATGTCTTTGTCATATGATTGAGCATCCTTTGGGTAAATGTTCAAGAATGGTATCACTGGGTCTTGAGGTAGACTGATTGCCAATTTTCTTAGAAACCACAATAATGATTTCCAAAATGGTTGTATAAGTTTGCACTCCCACCAGCAGTGGAGGAGTGTTCCCCTGACTCCACATCCTCTCCAACAGTGAGGTAATCTAGACTCAGAAAGACAAATACAGTGTGTATTAACTCATAAGTGGATATTAGATGTAAAGCAAAGGATAACCAGACTACAATCCAAAGCTCCAGAGAAGCTAGGTAACAAGGAGGATCCAAAGAGGGACACATGGAGCACCCTGGGAAGGGAAATTAGATGAGATCCACAGGGCAAGTTGGGGGCTGGCTGGGAGATAAGGGGGAGGAGAAGGGGCATGAGAACAGGAGGGAACCCGATGGCCTAGGTGGGGAGGGATACAGTATAAGAGCAATGAAAGGGATTTCTTAATAGAGAGAATCACTATGGGCTTAGGAAGAAACCTGGTGCTAGAGTAACTCCCAAGAAGCCACAAGGAGGATCCCAGCTAAGACTCATAGCAATAGTAGAGAGGATGCCTAAATTGGTTTATCCTTGTAATCAGATTGATAAATACCCCTACTATCATCATAGAGTCCTTGTCCAGTAATTGATGGAGCCAAATGCAGAGATCCACAAACAAGAACCAGGCTGAGCTCTGGGAATTCATTCAGAGAAAAGAAGGGATATATGCACAAAGGAGGTTAAGCTAGCTACATGAGCTAGCTTGTTGGAGCCCACTCCCGATGGTGTGATGCTATGCTCAGTCTTAAATAATGGGAGAAGGGCCGGGCCCTGCCCCAAGCTATTGTGCCGACTATATTGACTCCTCATGGGAGTCCTCCT